AACAAAGGCGTCGAGGTGTGTCCTCGTCGCCCCTCCGATGCTTAAGTTAGAGAGAGAATTTATGAAAGTAATATATGCTGTAACTTGTGTGTAAAATTTTTTGTACCTGATAATGAACAAGAATAGTGTATTTATAGGGGTGGGTGGAGGACTCCTAGTAGGACTATAATGCTGAGATGCTTAGGAGTCCTAGTGCAACCGGAAGTTGTAGTTGGTTCCGTGTTGCTCATATGTTTGGATTGAGATAGAATTCTGGCGGTAGAGTCTTTTTAGGATGAGGTATCACGATAATAGTAGGACTTTCCTTTTTGGGGTAGGAGGGGCCCTGTCTCCGAGAGTAGTCCTATGGAGCGGGTATCCCGAGCTCGAGGAGTATTCCCCGAGGACACCATGGGAAAGTAGAGTGAAATGGTCTTCTCAGGCTCGGGAATACTGCTCGGGTAGTTCTCCGATATTGGGATCATCACAAAAAAAAAAAATGGTTCTAGTTCTTAAAAGTGAGACCATTTGGTTCAGGTTTCGATTCTGCTGTAGTTCTAGAACCAAACCAAAAATCAAACTCATTATTTAAATTTTATTATTTTATATATATTTACAAATCAGTGAATCACAATTTACACCAAAAATTTCAAATTTCAATTGAGAATCCGGACAAAAGGTTGTGTGCCTTCGATTTCTCATTTCTCGAGGAGACCGGAGACCCTAATTCATTTCTCATTTTCTCTCTTTTTCAATTTATACACCGACTCTCAAATGGAGATCAACAACTACCATTTGCCGTCTATCATCGTGCTCAGCTATCATCGTCGCATGGATGTCTGAATTTGAAGCCTCAATGCTCAATTATTCTTCCTCAAATTTTATTTTCTTTTTTTTTCCCAATCAGTAATGAAACTAAAACCAAACCAGAGTCAATGGTTTGGTTCCGATTTGGTTCCTCATCTAAAAAAAAAACCCATTTGGTTCCATTATAAAAAAACCAAATAGAACCAATTCCACCTAGGGATTAGCTAAGCCGACTAAGTTTAACGAAAAAATGGTTTAGTTGTTGTTGGTCGAGTATATGTTTTCCTGTGGAACAACCTTTCACATTATATTCAGACTGTCAGTTTCTTTTTGCCTTTTTGCATGAAGTTTGATCTTATACACTTTTTGTTGGTAGTGTGTTGAAAACTTGCTAGATTAATCTTGTTATTATTTTGTGTTACCTCTAAAGAATGATATTTTATCTTTCCCACCTTGTATTTGGAATTTCTTTTGTTTTCTGAGCTATGGAAGATATGAAAACAGAGGTTTTGTGTAAATACAGTTAACACCAACAGTGCAGAGCCATGTGGAAGAGAAGATGGGTTGCGCAGTTCAAAAGCATAGCCACTTGGTGAGGGAAGTAGATGTTAGACTGTCGGTGCGTGGTGGTGAATTGGGGAAACGACCCAAAGTTCGTAGATGCGAGGTGTGTGCACGTGCTTATATATTATTAAAAACCTGAACTTTTGATATCTTTGGGTGGTTTAGTTCAACAGTTTTAACGGGCATTTGTAATTCTAGGTGACTTTGTTTACAAAGAAGCATGGAGTGATTAGGGCAGAGGAGGATGCTGAGTCACTTTATGGGAGTATTGATTTGGTGTCATCTGTTATACAGAGGAAGTTGAGAAAAATTAAGGAGAAAGATTCAGATCATGGTCGCCACATGGAAGGGTTTTGATAGGCAAAAGGTTAGGGACCCTGGTGCACTGCTAGCAGTTGATGATTTAGCAGTGGCTCCTCAAGAAGAAGACGAAGAGGATGCCATTGATGAGGTTGTCTCTTCTTAGTGTTGATTTGTTAAGATTTCTACCGGTATTAAGAAAGGACAATCTGATGAGTCGTTGCATCTCCTTTTCTTTGTTGTCCAATCTTTAGGGAAAGTTTTGGTATTCTCCTCTTCATTGAGAGAAAAACGGAAGCTTGCCATCCCTTCTCTCCAGCAAAAAGAGAGAAGAAGTGAATGAAACAAGTACCCATCTCTTTTAAGATAGTTGACTAACACTATGTTTTGTAAGGTAGATTATGTAGCACCGAACAATGTTAAAAGAGAATTAAATAATAGCCTCTTTCACAGTAGGTTCTAGTATGGCCCAATACTATATACCAAATGTACAATTAATTGCCAGTATCTCATATATCATCTTGCTTTTCAGATTGTTCGCAATAAATATATCGATATGCCACCATTAACTGTTGCTGAGGCAATCGAGCAGCTTGAAAATGTTGATCACGACTTCTATGGTTTTCAGAATGAGGAAACTGGTATGAACTCGCGCTGCTTTGGTCATGCTTATTGTTCTAATGCTGTAGCCATATAATCGTCATTTTGTGTGCTGCTGCTGCAGGTGAGATTAACATATTGTATAAAAGGAAAGCTGGAGGCTATGGACTTATTATTCCAAAAGAAAATGGTAATATAGAGGAATTGAAGCCCCTCGTGTGGGTCGCTCAAGAAACAATTGACAGAATATAAAGAATGTTAAGAGAGTGTTGGGAGGTCAGTGTACTTCACTGTATCTTAAAACTGGCATTTTTTTTCTAATATTTGAGTTGATACGATGTATTTTGTCTATGAACACCGATCAATGGTATGTAAGAAAAACTCCGTTCGAATTTGGAGCGAATGGAACTCTTGTAGTCGACTTGAAATTAATTGAGAATTAAGTTTAATTTGATAGTCCTTGTAAGAAATCATAGTATCATGTAGATCACTTTAAGAAATCATTTCTATTTTATTGAAGAAAGATGCAGCATTTGTCGCGCTTTAATCTAATAGAGTGTACGTCCAGAAGTGTAAAGTAAGCGCAAGGTGCAGGATGCCGTATTGAGATGTAATTTGACTGCTGAATGTGGTATCGAGATTCGCTCGAGTTATCAATATATCCGTTACATCGAATGGATTGAAAGGTAAGACGTTGTTATGTCGATGTTGGTTACTCTGTACAAAAATCTCATTTGTGAGTAGCTACTCTTCAGTGTTAAGATAATATAATATTTGTGTTCAACTTTAAATTATACAATTCCAAGTGAGTACAACTTTTCTTCTCTTAATCATATGTCTAACATATTCTACCAGAGAATCGAGAATGGAAAAAAATATCCCATTTTGAAAAATATAAGCTAAAAGCATAACAATAAGCAAACTGTACGTAAAATACCTCCTTATTATAATTCATATTCATTTAAATAGAGTACAACACAGGATTTCCTTCATGTTAATTTTGATAAGATGGAGGCTAAAAGGCCTAAAACAATAAGATGGTGGACAGTACAAACTTAATTTATTCTTTTTAATATTGTTCAGTGGCTGTTCAGTGGAGTTTACCAAACAAGTTCTGGAAACTCGCTTCTTACTGATATAGGAATTCTTACTTGATGCGCGCCATCAGTCCAAGTCAAGCTCCCAAAGTAATATTTGGTGGTAACCTGGTGCCTTGTAGAGATGGTAACTGTGAAGGATATCTTCTTAATCTTAGGACTGAATATCAAATAATCAGGTTTAACCACTACACTAATTCCTGGAGGAGGCCTAATTATAGCTTTATATTCAGAATTTATGGCTCCAACATTTGTAACAGTTCTGGTGAGAGTAATTGGATCGTTCAGATTTGGAATGGTTATGGAAGGAAGATTCAAATCGAGAACAGATGTAACTGTACTCGAACAAGATTTAGCTCTTTGAGTGAGGTGATTAATGGCAGTTTCATCATAATCCATGGAACAGAGATAATGTGTGTAATCTTCAATTCCCAGGTCATACACAAGGCCTGGATCTCTTGCCCTGTTAGGATTAACAAGCCCCCCTCCAAAATCAAATGGATCAGCTATTCTGGTTATGTCTCCCTCAGCCAGAATTGGTTCTCCCGAATAGGGATCGGTTCTCCAGGCTGCAAAACATTATTGACATGTTGTCACTCATTTATGAAAAAACTGTGCACGTGTCAATCTTTTTGATGAAATGCTACCTGTAGAAACAAGTGCCGATCTTATAGCAGCCGGAGACCAATCTGGATGTAAAGACTTGAGTAACGCAACAATTCCTGATACATGAGGAGCAGCCATTGATGTTCCAGATAAGAATGCGTATCCATTTGCGCTTGAACTTGGAGGAATTGCTGCTAGTATATCAGCTCCTGGGGCTGCTATATCCGGCTGCCTCGTGTAAAACCCAAATATAGTGTTCTAGTCAATCTTTGATGAAAAAATGAAGTCGACATGCAAGTGAGGGGTACCTTAAGGAGGTTTAAGCTAAAAATTTCATGTGGCCATTAGTAATGAGGATACCTTAAGGATTTCAGGGGAAAGAGAATTGGGACCCCGCGACGAGAACATTGCCACAGAGGTTGTTGCACGGTTGCCTATGTACGTTTTTGATGGTACAAGTCGAACTTTTGGGTCCCTACACAATTCACAATACACATTTTTCATACGACGAAAATGAAAATTAGGACGAAAAAAGTGGGAAATCTCATCTGTACCTGGTCGAACGGAAATAATTAAGAACTTGAGTTCCGACATCAAAACTCACAAAAATGAACGGGACACCTGCGTATTGAAATAGGTTTTGAGTAGGATTGCTGGCAACAATCATCCCCAAAGCCCCAGCCCTGAAAACATTTATCGTAGCTGAGGCTAGCCCCTGACCATCACTGATTGTGAAGCACAACACTACCTTGCCAGCCACCCAAGTATCATTTGACGACAGAGATTCACAACGGCTACAAAAAAAGAGTCAAAAACATCGTGTGCATATTTGGTGTGTAGTACCATATATATAATAGTACAAGAAAACAGTTTCCTTGAATCATATTCGGCCCATGTTTGACGACCATTACTTGAAAATTCTTTTTTCTATTCAATTCATTTTCAACCATACATTTACACAATAAAATATTCTGTAAATAAACCCAAAACTTTCTCCACTTTTTAACCACACATTCTTCTAAAAGTCACTATTCAAAATATTGGTTTTTTCCAAATAATGGCCGTCAAATAGGGGCACTGCCGTCATTTGGATCATGTAACAATGGTGTAAGATTCTTACTTTCGATCTTCAAGTTCTATGTTCTCTCTGTAAATCAACTTTACAAACCCGTTGTCCTTTCCGTAAAACATGGCTTGACCCTTCCAGCAATTTTAATAATTTACATTAGTCGAATCGTAGTACATCGAGTTAAATGCATTGGTCGCTGTCAAATTTCAGCTAAATGTTCCATGACCACCCGGGTTTTCAATCCCCAAGTATATCCATGTCAAGAGCTAAAAAGAATCTTAAATAACTTACCATTAAGGTCCTGTTGTTTCCTAGCATGATAGGTGTGGAGAAATGATCTATCCATAATACTAGCAGCAACCGTTATAACCCAGGGTGCAACATCCTCAACCGTTTGCGCAGTTGGCCCTGAATTTCCTGCTGAACAAACAACTGTTATTCCATTTGCTACAGCATGAAACGAACCATAGTAAATTAAGTCACGCTTGTCGATTTCAGGGTATAAAGGTATGTCGATGCCCAGTGACAATGACAAAACGTCGACCCCATCATGAATTGCTTCGTCGAAAGCTTTGAGAATGTCAGCAGATGTCCCTGTTTCGTTCCAAAACACTTTATATATGGCCAGACGAGCATGAGGTGCCCCCCCACGAGCAGTCCCATAAGCAAGTCCTCCAAAACTCACGTTATGCACGAATGAGCCGCCTGCAGTGCTGGCCGTGTGTGTGCCATGTCCATCTTCATCTCTTGCTGATAAGTGCTCGTTGAATTTGGTTGCATTGAAAGGTTCTCCAAGTGCTGCTTGAAGGCCATCATAGAAGAAACGAGCGCCAATTAATTTCCGATTGCAGTTTTTTGCTGGATCAAAGAGTTCGCCCTTTTGACAAAAACCTTTCCACTTTAATGGAATCGGCCCTAAACCTTCATCATCGAAAGATTCTGATTCTGGCCATACTCCTGCAAATTGTTTATGCATGTTACTTGATAATACATGGGATATGGCACAATTAGAACTTTTTTAAATTTAGTACTGTCAAGTGCTCCAGTCAAATATACGCGGACCTGTATCAAAGACGCCAATTATGGCATCCTCCCCTAATTTTGTTTCGTGCAGGAGATTTGTGGGTGAGGAAGATGAGAGGCCAAGGTAGTCCCAACTCCTTGTTGTTTGCCGCTTATAGAAACGATTCGGGATCACATGAACCACGCCGGGAAAATCTATAATGGAAGGAAAATTTTGACCAGATTAGAAGCAAGAGAAGAAGATTGAATCGCTTGCCAGCTTTACTTTCAATCTTTGTAACTGTTGCATGCCGTTGTGTATTTACCAAGTGATCCCACCGTTAATTTACATAGTGCATGTTTGGCATGCAATATTGTGTAAGACTGAATAAGAGAAGGTATAATGAATGCCATTTTAGCATTTTTTTTTTTTTGTTCCTTAATACTATCAAATGTTATTCAATCCTTCGGACCCAACAAACTCTTATTTTTTAAAACTTATCCATCATTTGCTTTGCACTAAATCCCCTCATCAAGAAAGGAGTATATATAGTAGTATAAGCTTAATATTTCATCAACACGTCAGATTCCCTTCAAAAGAACTGAACATGGAATTGAAAAGAAAAAATATTATTAAATGCGTGCGCTAAACGGCCCTGTGAAAGATCTGTTGGACAAGTTTACGAGGTCATCCATGACTCAGAGATAAGAGATCTTTCAAGTCATGAGAATAAGCAAGAAGCTCGACAGATCGACCTCAATCAATTCCTATGCAACAACTGGTTTCGTAAGAAATTCGTGTAAGGTACCTGCAATATTTTGGGCTTGAGAATCTGTCAACTTGGCTGCAAACCCAGAGAATCCATGTCTGTAACTGTATATCATCGAATCGACTGATGCTTCTCTACTGCAACAATATGAAAGATTCAATTATCTTGTCCATTTTCATCTTAATTAACTGATAAAACAGAAACAGGAAACCAAAAGTTCTATATGATATCTAAATTCTAAAATCCATGTGGTACCTTCCCAGAACTGAAGAAAGCAAATCGTGATGGCTAGATGTTACAAGCTCCACATCATCATGCTGCCTTTCTCCCATATAAATAATATGAACCTGTTTATTTATCCCATAAATTCATTCGTTAATCGAAGTACTGATGAGTTAAATCGAGAAACAGTTAAATGTTTTTTTATATAGTTAACATGAATGCAACGCGATATATAGATATAGATAATTGGCCTACTGACTTTGCTTTCAACATTCGCCTGAGTTCGAAAAATATCTGCTACAAATAGGAGAGCAAAAAAAATCAGATGGATCGAAAGGAAAGACATGTTGGTTATTCTAAACAGAATCCTCATTGTTTGTACAAGTGAGTAGCTGATCGATCACAGGTATTTATACTAGTAATTACTACAGGCATCATACTTATCTCCACATTTATCCATAAACAAAGATGGAGTCCTCTTATTCATCC